TTTTTTTTTTTTTTTTAACAGAAAAAATAATTAAAAATTAAGTTAGTACATTACTCTCAGTAAAATTCAATAATTAATTAGAGATGCAATTTACTATTAATTTTATTAGACTGCAGTAATCACCGATAAACCATATCAGTAAATGCACGCAGTGACGAGTTTGAAAGAACGGAACCCATTGATATGCTTCTCTTGATATTTGGGTTCTGAACCGCATACCAAGAAATTTATCATCTTTGTGTATATAGTATAAAACTCAACTCAAAATTCCTAATTTTTTATACCCAGGATAAAACCAACTAAAGAGACATGCAAGCAAACAAACTAAGATTTCAAAAAGTAGAAAGCTACATAACAATGAATCTAGAGTCCATACGCAGCAATTTTAATATCCAAATCTAATTCGAAATTTGTCTTAAAATTCATCTTAAAAAAAAAAAAAGAAAAGAAAAGAAAATGCACTTCATTAATAGAAGGAAAATAATTTTGAAATAATTTTTTTATTACTTTTGATATAATTTTATATATTATTTAAATAATTAATTATTTTTTCATTTAAAACTTATAAAATTAATTATATTCATTTATTTAATAATATATAAGTGTTATATAAAAAAGTTACTCCTACATCTTCTTAATAGAATGGTTATGCTAGATCTCTTGTTAATTTGAAATTTTCTTTTTATTTTTTATGTTTCCATGTGATTCCCGTTGCATAACTACAAATGGAGAAGTTGAGGTGGAGAAGTGGAGAAAACGAAGGCTTTCTTTTTATTTTATCTTCTTCTTTTTGTTTTCTCTCTCTTTATTATTATTTTTTTGGTTGTATTGTTTTAAAGAAAGATAGGAGTATTTAAAAAGCGAGTCCCTTTTTTAAAAAAAATTGTTCAAGTGGATCTAATTATATGTGTCATCTTTTTTATTCCGATTCATACTTAATTAGTTTTTAGGTTTATTTTCAATATCGGTAATTTAATTAAAATTTAAAATAGAGTTAACGGAGCAATAGTGCTTGCCATGTTAGCACTTAACTGATGAAGAAACTAAAGAGGGGGTTGGAAAGGTAATCTTGAGGTAATTTTTCACTTGAGAGACTAAAAAGGGTTCATATCAAAGTTGAGGAATAAAAATGGGTTTAACTTTTTGATAACATATTTGGAAAAAAAATCTTACAATTTCACATTGCTAGCAATGTAAATCGGTTCTGATTTTTTTTTTTTTTTAGTGTGTAAGTCTATGAGTCATGATATCCAAACAATTTTATTATAGAATAAAAAAAGTTAATTATTAAATAATATATAAAATTATATAACAAAATTATATTTATTAATAAATAAATATCGCAAGCTAGATTCATGGTTCAAATCTTGGGTCACTACTCAAGGAAATTAATTTCCTTAAATACACTAGGTTGACATGAGAATATGCTCTTAAGATTACTTGAAAATGAATTAATGTCAAAGGACCATGATTGGTGCACACCCGGATCCAACACCTGAGTGTGCATCCCCCACATAAAAAAAAAAAAATGGACTGGTGATGGGCATTTTTTTTTATATAATGTGTGCACACTTGAGTGTTGGATCCGGATGTGCACACATCATTTTTCAATCTCAAAATATGTAAAAACTAACCTAGAAACACCTTGATCATAAAAAATATATATATATATTATAAATTTTATAATATTTACATGACATCAAACATTTTGGATAATGATATATGAATAATTTTTTTGTATAATTTTTTATACAATTTTGACATGTTATTAAATTAGTGAATATTTAAAATATTACAAGTTTTAATTGAATAAAAAATCAACTATTAAATAACATGTAAGGTTAATTTAAAAAATTATACCAAACAATTTATATTTCTCAATCATTTCCTAACAAATTTATGTATATTGCTTTCATGCATCCACCATGAATAAAAAAAAAAAAACATAGGCATTTAGTTGATTTAAGATTTTGTTGTGATATAAGATTGTTCATATAAGTTGTAATCTAAATGAACCTCTATTACATTAATCAAGAATATATGTACATATGAACAAATAGGTAAAAATCCATTGAATCAAGGCTGATCATTTTCGCTGATATATAGAATAGTTATCAAATATCAGGTCATGAGTTAAGTACCAGGCAATCACGTACTCTCAAATTTGTCCCGTGTCAAAAGATGTCATTAGGAAGATCCCTTTTTTTTTTTTTTTTTTTTTGATATTCCAACTAAAATGTCATCAAGAGGTTAAAGATGATTATAATTTATAACTCTTTGGCCCGTTTGGTATAACGGTTTTAGGGTAGCGGTTAGCGATTTTACTTAAATCGCTAAATATAGGTGTTTGGTAAATTTATATATTTCGAAACTGTTATAAATAAAGTATTTGGTAAAATTTTTATTTAGTGGTTTGAGACTAGCAGATAGCGGTTAGAGTGCAAACCGCTAGCGGATTGAAAAAATTAGTTTATATAGTTTTTTGTACCAAACCGCTAACAGATTAAAATTTTTTAATTTTATTTACAAATTTATCCATTTTAATTTTTTAATTTGTGGTCACATTTTTTAATTAATAATTATCTAATAAATTTCAAT